TTTTTTTTTCACGTGTCCACATCTTCGCAGCTCGTCGGGAATGATATCGGCTAGTACGTTCAACTCGCCGTATCCTAAGGGTCTGCTACTTTATACGTGAAACTTGCTCGAGATAACAGGGAAATTGCCAATATTCCAACGAGAGAAAATCTTGTTTCGTTGAACGATTAGAAACGCGGTTTCTCGTTTTCGTTAATCGACGTATAAAATAACCCGGGAAATTAACCCGGTTTTACGTCGGCTCGATACCGAGCATTTGTAACGAAAATTCACCGTTGCATTTTCGGATTTAGCGATTCTACCGCGAAACGGCAGCGTGCACTATCGCTGCAATCTGTTTCCGTTATAGTTACAACAGTTGTTAGTTTGTTTATGCGTTACCGATATACGTTTCGCCCAATGTTCAATGAAACGAGATAACATTGACGAGGGAACATTGACAATACATCAAAATTATAATGATAATAGTCGCGAGGAAAGCCTGTTCTCGAAGAGAGTTATCGATTCGGGTTGTTTGTTTATTCTATGCAAGTAAACATCAACGGCAGTGCAGTGGTACTGATCGAGTGAAATTAGTATCGATGAAAAATAATGTTGTACGTTTTCAGACAGGTATGTTGTCGATTGTCGTGCCGCCGGACTTTATTCCCGAGGAGACATCGAGCGATGTCATGGTGCGCGAAGGAGGACAGGTAGTGAATTTTTGTCATGTAGTTTAATCTAAAAGTACGATACTACTTGTGCATGTATGTATGTATTGTACGTGTGTATGGTAATGGTGGTAGTGGATAAACGCGTGTTGTAATTCCAACAAAATTGAAGAATACAGACACCGACTCGGGTTGGAAATTTTCATCCGGCGCCGGCGTTAGTTGCCGCTCGCGTGGAAGGCGAGATATACATTTTTTACGCGCGTACGTTACGAGAGAAGGAAAGAGAAGTCCTACGAATATTGCTAAACGATTTCGATAACCTGTTGCGTGTTTACCCATCGTGCACACCAGTGCGTATTTTCGAAGCGCAGACACACATTTACGTACGTACATGCTACACTCGTAGCTACGCACTCGTACGTGTAAACGTGTAGACGCGTAAACGTTTCCATTTTCCCAGCTTTCTTATCAACGTTAGTGCCGCAATGCAAGAAATATTACTTTACTTCGAGCATCGCCGGCAAAGTGGCTTTCACAGTACCGTACTTGGATTGGTGTGCGTTTCTTGTCGCTCGTAGTAATAATGGCTCGATCACGATATCCACGATATCCACGATATCCACGATATCCACGAAATCCACGATATCACGGCGTTAAAGCTCTGCGGTCGTGGTCGCAACGAATCGTCTCTATATCGCGTTAGTCTTCAATCTCTGGGAAATTCGGTGATTAAAACTAGTTTGCCCGCTAATTGTGAATTTCACGGGAGCACGGTTAAAAAGCCGCGGCGAAACGACGTGAAATAATGTAATACATCTATGTATGTATGTATGTATGTACGTATGTACGTGGCTCCTTTACTACCGAAAATCCACGTAACGAGAACAAAGGAGAATTTGATACTAACTCGTCCCTGTATCGCGATAGAATCACTCCTAATAGCCTAATTAGCGGAAAATGGATCGCCAAGATTTACCAAAATTTCCACGTTAGAACTTTGAGAGAACTATCATCCTACGCGTCAAATATGTGTAGACCATATACACATGTATGTATGTATGTATGTATGGAGAGGATAGTACGCGTGGAAGGACGCGTGAAAATCCATGCGTTTAAGAGTATTACAGTTTTTGGAATCTACGCGAGTTGTTCGACTTTGAGCATCACTTTTACATTTATTGTAGAATTTGACGAATAATGTTGCGAGAGTTGAAGTTTGTTTCTTTCTTCTTTCTTCGAGACAAAATTAGAGTCGGACGGGGAGAGGAATAAAGATAATAGAGACAAAGAACAGATAAAGAATAAAGTTTAAATAAACGAGAGATGCTTTTTCATCCGGATGATAAATATCGTTATTGACGGCACGTAGTAGTCGGCTCGTAGTGGGACTAGGCTGACTGGTCCTAGTGTTTATTAAATTCTCGTTGCGTGTCGAGATTCTCCGTTGCACGATACGTTTCCTACTTTGCCTGAATTTCAATGCGACCCGAGGCTAAAACTTTTAAACTGGTTTCCCGTATCATGCTACATTTAGGATATCGGTCCACGGCCTACCTCCCGCCGTGATTTAAAATTTATAAAGACATTTGCAAAGAGGATCCCGCGAACGCCAGTGGAGAAATGGAGAAACGGAGAAATGGAGAAATGGAGAAATGGAGAAATGGAGAAAACGATCCGAGTCTGCACCACCCTTTCTTTTTCATTCTCTCACTCCTGCGTGAAAACAAAATGAAAATTTCACCGTGACGGCTAACAATCTCGGGCAACGACAATCTCGAAACCACATGTCGGACAAACGTATTTTAACTTTTAACGTTAACGGGCAAAAGCTGATCGCGGAAACGAACGGGATTCTAAGCTGATTTCATTTTCAGATACGCAACGGGCTTCGAATCGATCGAGTTTCGCCCATTTCAACCGTGCACACACGGTCCATCATTTCCCTTTTGTTTTTCAACTCGAAACCTCGTCTAAATCGAACATTTGCTGTTGTTTAATGGTAAATAGATTAGGATCGATCGGCGAGATCCGATCTCCTTTAAGCCGATCTTCTTTAAACTTTACCTCGTTTCGTTCAACGACGTAACTCGATTCGAGGAGAAGCTCGACTATTCCAGCTCCGCGTCTCTCTCTCTCTCTCTCTCTCTCTCTCTCTCTCTCTCCTTTCGTGATCCTACCATTCGTGCAGCCGTTCTTCAACATTTTTTTACTCGTTTGTTTTCCCTTTGATCGACACTACCTAATTATCCGATATCGTCCGTAATTAATTCAACTTTCCTCGAGTAAATTCCTAAACGTTTCACCTTCCGTGAATCTACGTGATGCTGAAATCCCAGCGATCCCTTGGGATTCATCTCTTGGAACCCATCTCGCGGAACGATCGTACGAGAATCTCTCAAACGAAAAATGTCAGATAAAACGGTCTCGCAACGCGTCTAATCAGTTCTCGTTGCGAGAGATGCCGACGAGATTCGAAGACTTTGAAAAAGAAGCTCGATATTAACTTAGCTTGTTTTGTTCGTCGTATTCTCTCTGCCGAGATCGGCGCGGCGCGACGCGACGTTCCCTATTGTATTTCCAAGCATCCTCCATCGCTTCGTACGATTTGAAAACGCGCGCAGAACGAATGTATTCATACGTGGAGCGTAAAATAGTAGGTATGTAAGTACATGCATTTGTCACTCAGCAACTCGCCATATACAACTCGGAGGACAGTCCGAGCGCTCAGGTGGCATGTTGACGCGTCTCTCCAGCCCTTCTTCCATCCATCCTCCCACAACGCGCGCCATGTACGTACATACATACATACATACATACATACATACATACGTACGTACGTACGTACATACATACATACGTACGTACGTACGTACATACTTACACACATACACGCACGAACTGTTGAACGCTACGAACTTGCTTCGTTCGAGCACGGACGACATAACCCAACCGACAATTTGTTCCCGAGATGTTCTCTGTAAACTGCATAAACTGATTCTTGCAATTCGAAAACGATAGTCGAGCGTGAAATTTCTGCGAGAGACGATGAAAAAACAAAGCAGCGCCGCGGTTTGTGGATTTGGTGGAAAAAGTTGCTCGTCGATATCGAGGAACTTTCGTTGAACGCGAATGGGTGTTCCGAGCCAACCAGTGTTTAAATCACACTGTTTGAAGCGTTTTAAACCGCTTGAAGCGATTTTTCTTTCTTTCTTTCTTTCTTTCTTGCTTTCTTGCTTTCTTGCTTTCTTGCTTTCTTTCTTTCTTTCTTTCTTTCTTCAAACACGCTGGCAGTTTCGTCAACCACAAAATTGTAAAAAACATGGAAACGTCTAATGAGTGAAATGAAATGACAAATGAAAGAAATTGGACATGTAAAATGAAAATAAAGAAAATTGGCTCGGTCAACGAACAGAATATCCGAGAAGAAGGCACGGATTTTTATTTTCTATTAACGATTCTAGTCTCGAACTCTGATGGAGTTTGCAAAGAAGCTGGAACAAAGTCAAACGACAACGAACGAATCGTCCGATCATTGTCAAATCTGACGCAAGCGAAAGTTTCGTAAATTTTAATTTCGTAGCGTAGCGTCGGCGGGGAAAATACGCGACGGTGAAAATTTCCAGGTCGACCGAAGAGTGAAAGAACTTTGAGGCCATCTACGAAGCAAGTTGATTTAATTTACTCTGTATCTCTGTATCTCAATTTTCGAGTAGCTTGGTGTATCTGTAATCTCAAGTGGATGAAACAGTTTGCTGTGGAGGCTGTAATTTTTCGAAACGTATTTATATGTACACGTTCCGGTGTGCTCGGTGCGCCGCGGCCGGCAATAACCGAGTCGATTCTCTTTATAATTTTGGTTTCACAACACGTACAGGTGAAGTTAACGTGCCGTGCAAGAGGCGTGCCTCCACCCAGCATATCGTGGCGCAGAGAAGACGGGAAGAACATTATAATTCGGAAGCCATTTGCAGGAACCGCCTTGAACCAGAAGTCTCACGGTAAGATTTAATATAGATGACGCTCCGACCATTTTGCCGATATAACGTGGAATATACAATTATGTTTTCCTCGGGCCCGGTCGCTGGATTCACTTGGTATTTTAATTTCCTTATTTCACCGCGAAACCATCGCGCTCTCCCGCGCCACCGACTCTCGCTGAAAACTGCCTGCGGGAAACGTAACTTTCGCGAAATTGTTAGGTGAACGCTTTGTGCAACGTTCCCCCCCGAGGAGGAGGAATCGATAGGAATCCCGAGTTTTTTTTTTTTTTTTTTTTTCGAGTCCCGTCTAACGATTCACTCCTCCAAATTGATTCCTCTTTAAACACGTGCGCGGACGATTTCGCTCGATTACGTTCGATTACGACGTTACATATTATACACTTTTTGGTCCATTCGTAATGATAACGTAACGTGAAAGCTGCCATTTCAACGAGAAACAACTCTTGGCATCTCCAGTGTATCTATCTAGTGTATCTATCTAGGCGATGGCAAAGCAGAAAAAAGCTACGAAACACAATGCAACGATTTGCTTCATTTTCCCGACACGTCTCAATCGACGAATTCAACTGACGTAGTTGGATGTTAAAAATCCAATGTGAATCGCATTGTTATTAATTGAAACGCCGTGCTACGTCCAGATATCGTGTTAAACGACAGTTTTTTTGAAACAAGCAACGAAGCAACCTTTTTCTCTCGAGAAAGAGGAAAAGAGAGAAAAAGGGATCCTTTGTGCAATTGTATTTTCTCGTGGCGCGGCACGTATAGCATATAAGGTATAAAACAAAGTCGTTGAACGCAACGCGTTGGTGAAAACGATCGCGACGGATAGCGTTCGTAAAATTGTGGAATCGTCCTGTGCCTCCGCCTAAACGTCGCGTCTACACGCTCTACGTCGATGCCTCCGCCTAAACGACGTATTTAGTATTCACTCGAGCATGGCGTTACTAATAGCAGGCGAATTACAGCGCACTGTCGAGGATACCGTGCGATGTATGCGAGTGCAAGCCTCGCGACGCGACGCGACAACACGTACCAAGTGCAAGTTGTAGCTGCCTGCAACGTAAACGGTGAGAAAGGGGAGGGGGGGGGGGCTGGTTTATTGTTGGTCTACAATGTTGATAATTACTTATTGGACAGGGGTATCACAGGGAGAAAGAATTGCCGAGCAAACTACGAGGTTTGCAAACTTGATTCGTTTCAAGGCGTTGCTTGAATCCTGTATACGCGCGTTGTTTCTTTCGCTGTTTATATCGCTCATATATCGCTGCATGGTTAATATTGCAATATACGTAATGTAGCAACAACGTCATTCACTTTTTTTAAATTCACTTTTAACGCTTCGCGTTATAACGTTGTTGTAGATTAAAAGATATAAAAGGTTAAATCTCATATTTCGTGACCATCTTCTTTGCATCTCCGAGATTTTTTCGTTTTACGATAGATAGACTTGATATTATTCCCATAGCTCCTATTGTACGATTGTATACGACAGTACGATTGATAATCATCACGAAGGATTCAAAGTTCCTTAAATTGTCGTGTTCCGTTTCCAGTTTCGTCTTTAATTACGTTTCTTCCAATTTCCAATTTGTCGAAGAAACGGTAATCGTGCGAAAAATCGCAGGCACTGCACCTAATTCTGCATATACATAATTACCTGCACGATGTTACTCACCGGCACGATTTAAACGGGACTGACTCGATGATTTATGATTTACAGGCTCGTTAATTAGCAATTTCCGCTGGAACGGTTAGCAGTCAGTTGGACGGTTTTCCGCAAGTTGCCTTTTCGGTTGAAATTTTCTCCGAAAATGATACGTTACGCGCCGGTAACTTGTTCGGCGAGTCAGCCAGCCATCTTTACTTTACTTTTTGTTCAAATACGAAAGGAAACGTTTCGTTTGCACGTAATTCCGTTTAATAATAAAATCGTCACGACGTATCGCGAAATGATAATCGGTCGATGAGATAATTCAACGAAAACTCGACCCCATTTTCAATGGGATATCACTTAATTGCAAGTTTCGTAGAAAACGTAAACTTTCAACGTAAAAAACGTATTGCAGAATGGCTCGCTCGACCTCTCTTAGTTCGTTAGTGCAAAAAGACGTTTATTTACGTTAGCAAAGAGGTTTAATTGCCGTAGCTAAAATAGGGAGAGCATCTGAAACGATAAGATGTAACATTGTTTCCGTAATGAATCCTTACGGACAACAACTTTGACAGGAGGAACGACAGCCTCGAGCACCTTCGTAAATTTTAATAATGAAAATTTCTGCGTAACAACTGTAAATTTTAATGGCATTGTTAACAGAGATTTCTATCCATCTCCAGCTAGAGAATATACCGTGATTATTAATGAAACTGGAGAAACGCACGATGTACGTTTGCTGCGAGCAAACGATCCTATTATTTTCTGCTCTTGTAGTATAATTAAATGAGGAATTACCAGTTTTGCGAAATTTACCAACGCTCCCCTTTGCGTCTCAAAATTTCAAGCGAATCGTTATTTTCACGGCGGGACCCACGGCGACGCACATTAAGAACACGTAAGAACAGTGGAATATTCTGGTTGGCACACAGCACGAGGAAGAACAGGTGCAACAAATTGCGTTAAAACGCTTGCTTTATTCTTGGCCAGTTTTTTTTTTTTTCTTCTTTTTTATTCTTCTAACGTGAACTGCGCAATTAAACAATACTCGAACACAGTCAGTTGTTTTTTTACGTATATTATAATACAGTGTCTATGCAATATCTATCGAAATTACTTCAACACTGTTGCCTGCGTCGATTGCGTCAACGTACGATTGCGTGTTCAAATCGAGTTCAAGGCACGAGTTTCGATATTTAATATCAAAATATAGGAATGCAATCGGACAAATTTACCATGTTTTTTTTAAATTTTTACGTTTAATTACGTAAACGTAACTTGACTCGATTCGTAATATTAACGTAATATTAACCGACGCGACGTGTGCCGAGAGGAATTTTCTCTTTAAACTTTTCTTCGTTGCCTCAGCTGTGCGTTACAGGGAGGGTATCACGCATAAAAATGATTTATCAATCAGGCGTACCGATGCTTGATTATACAAAATTTCTTTTGGTCGCGTAGGATTACGGAGATCCTCGTTTAAACTCGTGGCAAATAATCAGAGATACTTGTGTTTCGTGCTTTGTATGTACGTGTGAAATGGTGCGTACGATCAAAGAAGATGGATATAAAAGATACAATAATGAAACAAAAGGAAGGCGACAACAGGACGCAATGTTGTTTGTATCGTATCGATGCGATTTTCATTTTATTCGCCTTATAAACTTCGTCTGGTACGTATAGACATGCGCAGACGTGCTAAGCAGGCTTGCACATGTACGTACAATTGAAAATTTCGTGGGAACGAATTGAGAAAATCGGTATTTATTGTATCTGGTTTAGTGACCTCGGTGAGCGAGTACCACGGCGAGGAGCTGAAGCTGACAAAGATATCGAGAAACGAGATGGGAGTCTATCTGTGTATCGCCATCAACGGCGTGCCACCAGCGGTCAGCAAACGTATTTCTATCAACGTTCATTGTGAGTAATAGTGATTACTCTTGCCGATAATTTATCTCGATTTCTTTCGAAACGGGCCAACTGCAGGAGCCATCCTACCGTTCTACCATTACAAATTCCACTTGGCATTCTGTTTCACAGTTTCGCCGGTAATTCACGTACCTAATCAACTGGTTGGTGCTCCTCTGGGTACGGACGTGGTCCTGGAATGTTTTGTAGAAGCTTCGCCAAAGTCGATTAATTATTGGGTCAAGGATAACGGTAATGCCTTTAACGTGTTGGTCATTTAGCCTTGTATTTTGATGCCACTTTGCAAAAACCTCGCCTTGCCACGCTGTACTACGCTTTTATTCCCGACTATTCAACTGTTCGCGCATGTATTTACATAGATCTCGGTCGTTTCTCTCTCTCTCTCTCTCTCTTTCTTTCTTTATCGTTTTCTTTATCGTTTCTATCGCTTTTCCAACGCATTCTTTCCGCTTGTTCTCAACTGTAAAGGCACGGCATATTCGCTTCTATTTCTATTTCTCACTGGAAAAATAATTGTACACGATCCTGTAGATTTTCTGCATATTTCTTCACCTGCGTAATCTTCGCGTATTGGATAACCAATTTTCGATTTTTTGTTGCACAGTTTATTTACTGTTTGTTAAAAATAAGTTTCGATGAGTTTTCATCGGTCATGTACGGATTCGTGCAAATAATTGATTGCGTTTCCTATTGGTTGCATTCCCGATAATGGCTTCAATGGTGTTTAGTTTCAACAATGATAATTCCGTGCCACAAACTTTTTTCCACATAGATATTACCTCTGCTTGATAAATAGTGATGCGACATGTAGGTAATAAATTGAAATTAACATTTACAAATATCGAACGATTATTCTCTCTCTCTCTCTCTCTCTCTCTCTCTCTCTCTCTCTCTCTTTATATATATATATATATATATTTACACGTAACTGGTATTTATATTTTTTAAAACGCGGTAAATTTACACGCCACATATGTATGTACGCACATAGATTTTAACATTTCCATCAAATTGAATTATCATCGTATTAAAATATTTTACACGATGTTAAAATATTTCGTCGTGCAACGATAATATCTGCACGATCAATAATATTATGCTTGTTAAATTTTACAAAATTATTCATCGGTCACCACAAAGTAATTATCGTGAAACAAATAATAATTATCGTAATGCGCGGTTACATTCATTATTCATCGACGAGTGTAAAAAGTTACGTACTTACTTTAATGTATCTTGTTGTTTCACATCGATCGGTTTGTTTTCACCGCGGCAAGTAGTATTTTTGAGCAATTTTGGGAAATTCCCCCCTTTTGCTTGCCAACGGCCTCTAAAAAGATATTTTGTCAAAAGCGAGAGGCAGAGTCGGAAAGGTATTCGCACCTGGAAATTACACGTCGACGAGGGAGGATCGTTTCCTTAATTGGAAGAATTAACTCGCACGTTTAAAACGAGAATCGACTGTTTCCACTTTTGGAATGTGAAAGAGGAACGGAGAGCATCTACTCTCTCCTTAATAGGTTGAATATTTTCGTGAGCAAGTTGGCAAAGTGTTGCAGACAAACGTGAAAGTGAATTACACTCGACCGTTGGCAAATACATATATTTTCCGAGCAGTGTTGTATAGATGGCAGACGTGCTTTTCCCAATGCGTTTCTATGTAATTTTCACCGTGCATGGAAAATCCGGTGGCCCCTCCTTTTTCTCTATCTTGCTTGCACCTGTACGCATACACACCCTCGTCTCTATAAATGTACATACGTATACATGCATATTACACGCGCGGCATAACGCTGTACAGGAAGGTTTCAGACTGTAATAAGAAGACTCGGCGCGCGTTTAAGAAGTGAATTTTCACATACATTTATACGTCGTTTCGTATTCCCTTTACTCGTTTGCAATATTCTTAAATAGGTTGTCATAGGTACATACATGTACTGTACACACACGTGTGAGTAGGTACGCATGCACAAGAGTATACTTATACCCGTGCATAGAGTACGAGGCACGTACGACCACGATTTCTTTTGCAGTGAAAATCTTTTGCAAAATTATCTACCAGTACCGATAAATTTCCCAAATTCGTATCAACTATTGGTGTTTTTGAATTTAGAAATTTTGGCGCTCCCTTTCGTTCATTTTCATTGATTTTTTTCAAATGGATGTTCAAATGCTCCCTTGCACAGCACTTTTTGCCCAATCATTCAATCGATTTGGTGCAAAGGGTCGCCCGCCACAGTTATCGTGCTTTTACTTACTCTTTAGTTGAATCGATGCCTTTGCATCGTGTTAACGTGTCACTTTATGCGTAATTATTCGTAAATTTGTTTGTCTAGCAATGATAATATCGAGCCAACAACACGACGTACAGATGATTGAAAAATCAAAGTTTGAAGTCCGGATGGTATTGACTATTCGCAATTTACAAAAGGACAACGTAGGTACTTACAAGTGTGTGGCCAAAAATTCTCTTGGTGACGTCGAGAGCAGCATTCGATTGTATGGTAAGTGTCTTTGTAACGTACTTTGAATCGATTTTGTTAAAAATAGCTGTATTCTGTATGTTGTATTGTTGTACGTTACATCCGCGTGCAAATTAAAATAAAATTGTTTGCCCGTTGCCTCTCTCTTGAAGAAAATCTCTTTGCGGTTTCAAAATTTTTGCACAAAACTCGAAGTTAATGAAAAGTGGGCTAGCAAATATAGGGAAAGTCGAAATAATACTATCACTTGCCGTGGCTCGATCGCTTATTGCCTGGTTTTGTATTCCCTTTGACGATAATTCTAGTTCCAGCAGATTCGTGAAATATAGCTACCCAGCTGCATGCATATGTATCGCGTGCATACACGTAGCAGTAAATGAAATTTAACGGGCAACGCATATTTTCGAAGAAAAGTAGCGAAATACAAGACGAAATCTCTAATTGGGGAAAACTACGACTGTATACTCGAACTTGAATAAGAAATTTCGGATTGCGTATTTTTCTTACGTATATTATTACGTACGTATGAAAAACTTATTTCTTCGTTCGAAAAAGTACAAGTGCCTGGTGCGAAGCGATGTGCGAAAAGTAACGGTAGTGGACAGAGCAAACGCTGCTTTGTAAAAGTTTGATTAAAAAACGGTATCGATCGACGCGTGAGCAGTGTCCCATCTGCCGCAGCACTGGTCGCGCGATAGACTTGGAAAAGTAGTAGCGCTTTGCTTACCAAAGTGGTCCCGTCTCATCTCTGATGAGTGAAGAAGCTTCGACATCTGGGGGTCGATCCGGGAGGAGGGGCTTCGTTTCGTCAGTAAGAGTAGTCGTGTTTGGTAAATCTTGTCATCTCTGTCGTTGAGATGACAAGAACGAGCCGAGATGTTGAGAATTTGTTGGGAATTCGGTTGTTTTGTCTCGATGTTGTTTCGCAGCTTGAATGTTGGACGGTAACCGTCGGTTAACGAATGTTTGCGCGACATCCGAGTGGAAATTGTTGATGCTCGCCGGGCTGCATCTTGAATAAAAAAGCGATCGCGGTGCGACAGAAATAAAAAGGTGTTTCGCTCGTCTCGAACACGCTCGCGTTTACAAGCATCCTCACTTTGCCACGGAATCCTCCGGAGGATTTTCCCTCTGGCAGCGTTCACCTTCTTTCGGTCGATCCTCATCTTTTCGCATACGATCCTGGGGATCTTCCAATCGGGTCAGAGCCAGACTCGAGGGAAACACGAACAGCCGATGCACTCCGAGGTTCAAGGGTTTCGCACGGTTGTCGCCGCTCCGTGTCCTTCGTAAATCGTCACGAGAGCCTCTCACGTCTTAGGAATCAATGTTGTTCCCTGACACAGGGATTTACTTACTACTTTCCGTAGCACACAGCGTCTGTTGCGCAGCCTGTGTAGATTCTCGTTTCTCGCGAGAGCATCGCCAATGATTCACTGCTCACCATTCCTAATACATCTCTCTATCTTCTTTTTCTTGTTGTTGTTGTTGTTGTTGTTGTTGTTGTTGTTGTTGTTGTTGTTGAAACAAAAAATGTCGATCGTTGAAAACGCTGCTGCTTACTCTTCTCGTAAATAACGAGATAATTTTGTTGAAGCTTTTCCATGTAAATTGATTCGTCTCGTTTGGCGACGAGGTAAAATGTTTGACTTTTAATTCTGCCACAAAAGCAGCGACCAACAAGACGGACGGGAAAATTAGAAAGTAAACTCGTCGTTGGTATAGGTAGAACTTTAATTAGCCAAAGTTTTTCGAGCCTTTCATTCAAGCCAAGGTATTCTCTTGTCCCTGTAATCCTTGTCCAATTTACAGTTTCTCTGTAATTAATCACACTGTATAAAGAAATACTCTGTTTATTCACGATCACGGGTTTTACTTTGTTTGTGACTTTTTGTTGAAACGTGCAGCGTTTCTCTTGAGAAGGAATGGCCTAGCGCTAACTGCTAAAAGACACAATTAATTAGTCACTGCGCGAATTACAATCTTACAAAAGGAATCGTAGCCCAATTTTCCCAAGAAGAATTCTAAGAATTTCAAATTATTTCGCTTGATTAGAATTCAAGATGGAAAGTAACGCAACCTCGCCATCTCTTCCGTCTCTGAACGTAATCGTTTTTGAGAGACTGAGAAAGCAGCTGAAACGAAATGCCTCTTTCGGCGTTTATTTAAGAAATTTCAGGCCCCACGAAAACTCAGACAGCAGCTCGGCCGCCGTTTTATGACGAGGAAGATGAAACGGTGTACGGCTCGGCAGAAAAAATGGACAACAAACCTCTATCCGTGGACAATACGATCAACGGACACGCGGGATACCCATCGGTTGCGACTCCAGTGCCGACGACAAGGATCGGCAAGAAGAGGCCAATTTCGATCCAGGCCAATTCCAACGCGAATCGTCATCGACGAGCCTCCGATCTCCTGATCGTACTGATGTTGATCGTCGCTCAAAGTCAAGGACGTCAGTAAACAGGGACGTCGGGGAAAAAGGTAACGCAAGAGAGGATGGACACACGAGGACGGTCCTCCATCCAGGTTCACTTCGTTTACCCGTTTACTTACTCGGTAAAGGCCAAGTATGTAAGTACTTGTTACTTTCCCCTGCTGTAAGAGTACTTGTTCTTACATCGTAGTTTCGACGGCGAGCAAAATATATGAAAATAAGCGAAAAATATAGAAAAACGAGATTTGAAACGACCATGCAAGAATAAGAAACGCAAGTGAGAAATGGTGCGAGAGAGAGAAGGAGAGAGAGAGAAGGAGAGAGAGAAGGAGAGAGAGAGAGAGAGAGAGAGAGAGAGAGAGAGAGAGAGAGAGAGAGAGAGAGAGTAGAAAAAGATAAATGATACAATCCTGGCAAGATATATTTACACACACACACACACACACACATACACGCGTATACACATACGTTATATTAGCGGATCAAGCAGCCAGGTGTGTACTTACTTTTCGGATTCAGCGGCAATAAATTCGCGTAACGTACATGTACATATGCCTGTACACGTATCTATGTATCATAGGGGCGCAAGCTTGCACGTGTACATGTGTGTGCATACTGACACGTCAGGGTAACTAAGATATCTGTATATGTAAGTAGATCTCGTAAGCGACAAACGTTAATAACAAAATGTATCGCGTTTTTAATCATCGTTGGCGGCAGCTTTTTACGTATCCAAGAAGAAACGCGCATCCAGCAAGAAAACACGTCGAGGCCAAGCTGGTAATGAGTGTTTTAGCGAACGAATTGCTTCGGTCGGACCAACCGATTTTAAATAGCGAGTACATTTATGCCCTTTATATACTTGCTCGCCAACCAAACTCGATCGAACACCTTGATCGAACACGTGCGATCTGTTGCGATTTATCTACTTTCCTTTCATCTTTATTTAACCCTATTCTTATCCACTATTGTTCAGGAATATACACAACAGTTTGAATTCACACAGTTCGTTCAGATGGCACGGCATTTATTAGTTAAATTTCGATAGTTTTGTTTTGTTTTGTACGCACATAGGTACATACATCTGTACGTACGTACGTACGTACGTACGTACGTTTGTCGTTTTGGACGAAAATCACAGCAGCATATTCACTTTTCCGTAACTAATTGATTTTCTCATCAATGGCTGTAGCTATTATCGATCTTTTACTCTTTCTCTACTTTTTATTTTTGCAATTGAAGCGGCGGGCTTCCGTCGCTTCGCAAACTCTCGAAACATATTAACCGCGAATAAACTGTACCGGCTCGTAATCGGTACAGTTCACTGTTCAATAGTAGCGCAAACATTAATATCGAAAGGATGAATGAAAAGACAGATGTATGTATGTACGTATGTACGTACGTTCGTTCGTTCGTGTGTGCAAGTTAAAATGAAAATTTTCATTGACGCTGCCTCGATTCTTCCTGGTCGGAAATGAGAGATTTTCCAAATTTTGTTATACATATAAAGAACAAAAAAAATATCATCTTGGCGGTAGATTCGCCACTTTTGTTCTCGAATATATATGTGTATCGAATTAATTCGATTATGTCGTTAGATCGTTCAGATCGCACGACCAGTCACGGATATTTAATCCGTTTGGTTGGCTTTCCTTCGTTCTCTGTTCTCTAAACGACGAAGAGACGGAGAAACGGAGAACGTGAGCGTGATATTTTTGTATTTTCGACCATTGATAGCGTCGTTTCTTGCCCGTTCCCTTCCCCGTTAATCGTTTATTTATCAAGGTGGAAAGTTCCCTTCGGTTTAATCCGTTCGTGTCAACAAGAAGGAGGATCGGGAGGAGAGGGAAGGGAGAGAGAGAACGAGGGACTTGTACAGTTAGTGGAGAATCGTGCGATTGGGGATTAAGCCGTGACAAGTTTAACGTTCGATTACGACGCGACGCGGCATCGTACCTTACCATCGTTCAACGTTCGCACGTTTCTGTATATTTGACGCTAAATAAATGAATGTCGTTTAGACGTGCGCGTGCATACGTGTGTACGTGCACACGCGTACACACGCAGAGATGCAGGTTTCTCGACTGCGTTCGAGCTGCATTACGAGCTGGTGCTATCAATGGTTTTCTTTTTCCTGAAGTCTCGTCGACTCTCTAACGTGCAAAGTCTCTGTAGAACGATGAAACAATTTACTTTCTCCAACCGTTTCAGGTGCTGTCTCTCCTTTAACAACAAAATTATTTATTATCAATAAAGTCTAGAGACGATTTAAAAAAATAGTTCCAAGAGCCTTCGACTCAAATCGTTCGTGGTTAATCTGGAAACCAATTTGCATCGCCAGTTGCCAGCGATTTTGAGGTAGGTTAAGAAGAATTATTTTACACCGACGAGAGAAAAGATACAACGAGAGATGCTGTGCTTCCTAACGTTATAACTCGTAGGTATACGAACATATGTATGTATGCACTTATCTATCGCGCAATGAACTAACGACTTTGCCTCGTACGAGTAATCAGCTAGAACGACGAATCGAGATGGAACTCGAGAGAGAGAGAGAGAGAGAGAGAGAGAGAGAGAGAAATTATCTTTTACTTTTCGTCTTTCGAGTTACAAGTACTCTATGTTGCCTCTGTGTTTCATTCCAGAAAAAGTGATTTTCTGTTTACTGCCCTTGCAGAGATTCTATTTCTAGATGGAACGATGGAAATATTTTCGGTAGCGAAAGCATTGTCACTTGTAGCATCGTTCAATTTATTAACCAAACTGTTTGAACAATTTCGGCTTCGTTTCCAATACATTCTATCGAACTGTCGTACTTTTCGCTATTCGGTTCACACACACAGTCGTTGTTGCACATGTCGATGTCTTTTAAACCCAAAGTCAACGTTCTTAAACTGTAACACGTTAATGCAACATGGATCGAAAGATGTTTCGCCTACGTTCTTCTGCAGGGTCCAGGATACGTTTTTTCGGTAGGTTTGGTTATATTGTTCTCGGAATGGAGAAACTGTGGAGGTTTATTAGCGGAGCCGCGAAAAAGGCGAAAAAGGCGGAAAAGGCGGAAAAGGCGAAGAAGGATTTCGAGTAAAAGGGGGAGAAAGAATTCGGTCATCGCGAGGAATTATATGGGCGGAATCCGGCTTTAAGGACTACGCGAAGAGAAGATCTTAGTTCCTTCATAAATAAACACAACTGCCCGAACAGCTGGCGCGGACGTAATTCATCGCGAATTAATTTAAGGGCCAACCCCTTCTTCTTCCCCTGCACCCCCTTGTCTTCCAGCCGCTATTCCTCTCGCGCCCTTCCTTCTTATCCGCCACTGGTACTTTCATTAAAGGTCTGCCGGCGCCATTTGGTGGCCCGCTTTATGCTGATTTTATTTCCTTTCTTTCGAGAACTCGAGATCCTCGGTAATTGTGCGGTATTATTACCCCCACGCCGGCATAATGGCCGCGTGAAATATGGCCCGTCGAACCTGCCCGTACACCGTTGCACCTCGTCAACAGGATTTCACGGTTCGCTGAAAATTATTGTCGTCGTCGTCATCGTCGTCATCGTCGTCATCGTCATCGTCATCGTCAACTTTAACGGTCCCAGAAGATTCGCACCTTTTCGAAATTACGTCTATCCTTCGATCGACAATCTCTCTTCCTTTTTTCCCGTTTTTTACTCGAGGACGTTGATCATTCTAGGTTATGCAGGTTTCGCAGATTATCAAACAGAACGGTCCATGAGCTGTACACTCTTGTCAAGTTGTTGTTGGTTACTCACTCGTCAAATGTAAGTAGCACTCGGGACGGCGCGATCTACTTTTTCAACAACTACTAGAAATTTGCTGTAGACTTTAAATTTTTGTCGAGCGTATGAGAAAGTTGACGTTTGTTTTCTGTCTGTCGTTTGCTTCTGTCAAAAACCAACGATCCATAGAGTGAAACCAAATTTGATTTATATTTCCTTGACAAAACAGAGTTTCATTGCAGTTTCGTTCCCAAAGTTTTCTAGAATTTTACTATCGGTAAACAGCCAGTAACTCGACGGGATAGCAATACGTTGATCATTTTACAGGGTTTCTCGATGCTCAGTCAAGCTCAGTCTCTCTGTCTCTGCGATCTTTCCAAAGTTCAACACGATTTCAATCGGGATAGATAATTCCTTCTTCATCCTTATCGTTTTACGACGATAATTCCCAATAATGGAATTTTCCGAATCAACGACGCTGCTGTTTCAGTGATTATCGAAATTGGAGTCGTCATTTACAATGTTCGTCCACACATTTTTACGTTTGTTCCACGGTTGAAGCACAATGAACGTATGCATTGAGGATTTCGAGCAATCGATTATTTGATAATTCATAAACGAATATACCCGATGTGCGTGCGAATATCATATTACACCGTGCATTAAGAAAATACTAATTGGTAATTAATTAAACGGGCCGCGTAAAGTTTCACTCAATGCCAATTCACTCAACGCCAATTCAATTTTTAAGAAAATTGCTCGTTAACAAGTTGCGTGGTTTCGAAACATGTATTTATCGCGTTGTAACGTTTAACATGGTACGCGTGGAAAGAGAAGAACTTGCTTTCACCACACTGTTGCATTTTTTTGATAACGAGACGTTACGTACGCTAACAACGTAGGTACCTATGACTATCATGTCTACGTGTAAAACATGCATTATCTCACGCGCGTGTGTTTCTTCGTTACGCGTGTAAACGACAAATGCGTACGTTTACCAATGAGTGTAGTGTATGTTACACGTCGACTACATGTTCACGCTTTAACATATCTTCCTAAACATATCTTCCCTCCTCCCCACTCCCTACTCTCCGATAATTACAGGTACAGAAAACTTATTTTTCTGTAATTATAAGCATCTAGCGGTTACACAAGTATTCGAGTTAAGTACTTAGTTGATTAGTAACGTTAACGAAATCGAAAGCGTGTCGGAACAACGCTTACATGTCTTTTGGTGTAGATTGGGGAATCCAGCGATTCCCCGGTGCCCGACCATTCGTTGTCTGTACTGTCAAGTTTTCCTGCAAAAGAAGACAATATCAGCGCGTAACCGAACGTGATTGAACTAAATCGATTGCGTGGACTTTTGTAAAGCAAGTAGCCAAAGTCAAAGAGCATCTTTACGTTGCGTTTACTGTGAGAAATTATTTACTTTATTATTATACAAAGTTCTACGTAGATGAATATATATATATATATATATGTATATATATGTATATAT